TCTCCTGTAAGAAGAACTTGGTTTGTGAAAAAACCGATGATCTTTATAACCTTGAAAAGACTTCACTGCGCATACGAAAGTTTATCTGCTGTGAATACGGCTTTCCTGTACAAGAGAGCAGAATGGAATGATTGAAGAGAAGATACTTTAGAATGCGAAAGGAAGGAGAGAAAGGAAAAGAGAGAGAGAGAAGATAGTTACGAAACGTACAACAGTTAACTTCTATTGAAGTAGTTAAGAGCTTTATCTAATATTCATAGGTATTACTCTGGTTTTAATCTCACGTGCCGCATTTATCGCGATCCACTTATCAAGGAAAGGTGTTGATGATAAGTGAGTGCACAGTCTATATGGAGCTCACTGGGCAGTCTACGAACATCATGATAATTATTGGGACCGTGGAGAAGAAATTCAGAAACAACTACTTACTTAAAAAATTATTTCTCTCGACGCCGGAGAATAAGGTAATTGGAGAAATAAAAAAGAAACGAGGATACAATTAAGAGGGAAGGGAAGGGCAAGATGAATAAAAAGGTGATAAAAATTGTTAGAGCCTGCTGAAGCTTAGAGTAGGGATGTCATATGGTGCGTGAAAAAAAGTTAATTTTCAGTTTTCGTTTTCGAACAAAAGCGAAATTTTTCGGCACAGCCGTTTTCTTTATAAAAAAAATATTGTCGCCTTTCGTCTACAAAAAGAAAAGTCTTCGATTTCAGGGGCGTCTATCCTCTGGGACGTTTGAGGCGCAATGCCTCAAACAAACGTAAGGTGGTACGCTTTTTTGCTGTAGAAATTAATTTTTTAGCTGGTACACTGAGTGATTGAACCTTCGAGGTGGTACAAAATGCCTCAAATATTCAGGTGGGGATGGATGCCCCTGTTCGATTTTGTTGCTTTTCAAAAGCAAAATTTCGTCAAATAGAAGTGATTCCTCAGGGTGAGATCACTTTGTTTCTTCTAAAAAGGGATCACCTTTCACATTGTGTTCATCAAAAAGAGGAAACTGAAAGCTGATTGTCTTCAGACAGAAAATTGTTCCACCACAACGTTGTTTTCGTCAGAAAAAAAATCAGACAGCGCTTGTCTCTGTGGTTTCAGTGTTGTTCATTACCTATGTTTCTATCCACCCAAAGGGAGATAAGAGTTGTGAATGCTTGCTGTCAGGGACACAGAGAAACGGTTTAATGAACTTTGGGTGAAACTTGTATTCCCTCTATTTTATGAGTGTTGATGGTCATTTATTAATGCATACAGAATTATTAACACAATCACAATCTTCACTCTCAACCATTGTTGATAAATGTGATTCATTACAAACGAAATTATTTAGCATTCATCATTATCTCATCGAACATCAACTCTATCCTCAACACAACAAAATAAAGAGATCATTAAATCTATGGCTCTCAAAATCCTTCATCCATCATCATTGTCATTATTGTCAATTGCTGAAGAAGCAAATTGATAAAAAGTTTAACAAAAAACTTTGACCAAATCACCCCACTACACAAAAAAAGAAATAAGAAAAAGATAGAAAAAAGGAAAAAGTCTAAACAAAAAGAAACAATATGGCTTAATATATACTAATGTACATCTAACCCATTTTTCTCCGGATATCTTCTGTTTTAATAAGAATAGTTCCACATGTTTCTTGACCCATATGAAAACGGTAATCGATTATACATTGAAGAAGTGGTTGAAAACATGAGTCTTTTAAGTAGTTTGTTAGTGATGATAGTTTTTTTTAATTTAATTGTACATATATATTTGACGCAATGACATTTCATAAATGAATCAATATAACCATATTCACAGTCACCAGTGCTAGCGTTGTTATTATATGCAATTGTATAATTGTTGACCAAGTCACGACAAGTATAATATCTGGCATGATATTACACACGTTTAAGTTTCATACGTTGGTAATACGAAATACCTTGTTCACAACTGATACACACATTAGGATGTTGTGTTTAAATATGTCAGAGATAATATCTTTTATATTCTAACTGTTCATTATGACTTTTGTCGTGTTGAACGAAAAGTACTACCAAAACGTGTAACAGGCGTCGGTTAGAGATATCTCTAGCTATAAACAAGGGCTAATTGTTGAGTCCTTGAGAATCGTTGAGTTTCGGCTTGACGTCTGACTCGTGAAAATAATAATAGAGGGAGGCATAGGTTAGTGTATAGGACTGCTCATTCCGAGGTACAGAAAAAATCACACAATGGGAGTGATCACAAATGCGGGAGCTGACGGAGGGCACTTCAAAGGCTCACAAAAAGTGTGTCATTTAAAGATTTTATAGAATTTTTCTCGAAAAATGAAACAGCAATCTTTTCAATGAGAGACTAAACTATAAGGAAATCTCTGTCTTTTATTCCTAAATAAAAACAAAATGTAAAGAAAATTTGTCACTCAAGCTTCACATCATGAATGGCTTCACTGAAGATCTTGAAATTTCTTAACAAGAAGTACAAGAAGTTTCACTAGCGTGAAGCTTAAGGCGTAAAAGTCCACCTTTATTATAAGATCGCTAAGCATTAAATAAGTGTAAATTAAATTATAATCCTTATTGTATTCTATTCGACTCCTTTTATCTTTTTCCGTCCTTAAGTCAGCCTAGGCGAATTTAAAATCTGCCTGAATTTTAATACAGCCTGTAACATATACATATATCGAATGTTTTTAATGTATCGATGTTTAATACAGATAACTTTTCTTCATGAAAATCAAATGACAAATATTCTGCTCTATATAACACGCGTGTTTGGCAGACTAAAGGCCCTATTCACATTTATGTCGAAACTATATATTTACATGAGACGTTTATCAGTTTATTCGTCGAGATTGATTTATTTTGCATTCAGTACACTTCTCTCTCACATGATATAACTTTCGCTATGTGCTACCTACCCATGTCGACTATCGCGATCGCTTATGGAGTCGCGAAATTTCTCGCCAATTTCGCGATCGCTATAAAGTCGCGATGGAACGAGATTTTTCCTATATAGTCGCTACATTCGCGATGCGACTCCTTCATTTTCTCCTTTTAGTGGGCGCAACGCTTTGTTCTTGCGATGTCGCGAAGCGACTCCTATCTTTTTTGGTCAAAAAAGCGCGAATTTTTACTGAGGGCAGTCGAGAATGTCGCGTCGCGATCGCGGTTCATTCTCTATTGGGGTTTGATCCAGTTATAACTAGAGATGCACCGGTTACGGTTAACCGACGAGCGGTTGTAACCGATACCGCCGATTTCTCGACGCACAACAGTGACTATACATACTGATGAGCCACACTTATTATACATATGTCGTCGACTAGAAACAAAGAAAAGGTCACAGACAGATAAAGAAAATAATAAGATTCTTCTAGAAAAAAAATGTTTATAACATGTCGAAGAGAAACGAGAGGAGAAAAAAGGACATTAAACTCTGTAACCCATCGATATCAACAATCATTTTCTTGAGAGATACATCATTTACTGTGAAGATAGCAATTCTTGCTTTCTACACCGTAATAAATAAATTTATTTCAAGAAATAGTTTAGTTTGCTTATTTGAAATATAGAAGAAGTATAAACAACGAAGGCTGAAATTTTAGAATTACAGGGTGGCCCATAAGTTCTGATACAAAAGTTAACTTGGTATTTATTCTAGAAAAGCAAAAGCAATAAAGTGGAAATCAATATTATAGTAAAGCTTGGTACTTATACTATACGTATACTTAATATTAAGTCACACTCTATTGTGCTTATTATTCTTTTTTTAAAAATGGATGAACGTTCGGCTATAAAATGCTATTATAATATGGGTTTTGACGAAAAGCGAAGCTTAAAGACCTTAAGATTACGAGATGCAAGGTCTATCGTACTGTTAAGCGACTTAGAGAGACAGGCTCTATTGCTGACCGGCCAAGGAGCGGGCGTCCTCGATCTGTTCGTACACCAGAGCTCATCAACAAAGTAAAATGCCGTCTCTACAGAAACCCAAAGCAATCAATAAGAAGGATGGCGAAAACGGTGAAAACGGCGCGTACCACCTTGCAAAGGTTGGTGAGCGAAGACTTGGGCCTCCGTGCATATAAACCACGTAAAGCGCAAGGACTGACACAGAAGCAAAAGATCAAGAGACTACAAAGAGTCAAAGACCTGCTTGAGCGGTTCGCTGATAAAGACATTGACCAAATTGTCTTTTCGGATGAGAAGATCTTTAGCGTCCAAGAGGTGTTCAATAGTCAAAACGTTCGTATATACGTAGTGTCATTCGAAGACATACCGGAAGATATGAGAACCGTTCAGCGCTTTCAATATGATGAAAAAACAATGGTTTGGTGCGGAATATCGAAAAAAGGCAAGTTTCCGATGGTTTTCGTTGAGCCTGGCACAAAAGTAAACGCCAAGTACTACAAGAGCAATATCCTCGTAAAGGTTGTCAAGCCCCAAGGTGATCGAATATACAATGGAGGCAATTGGTGCTTTCAACAAGACTCCGCGCCCGCGCATAAAGCAAACATCTGTCCAAAGTGGTGTCGCGATAATCTGCACGACTTCATCTCAGCACAAGAATGGCCGCCTTCTTCACCCGATTTGAATCCCCTCGACTATTCCATATGGAGTATATTGGAGGCCAGGGTCAACGCTACCAGGCACACAAGTCTCGACTCCCTCAAGGCTAAGCTTCTACAAGAATGGGAAGCTCTCTCAATGGATGTCGTCCAAACAGCCATCGACTCGTGACCCAAGAGATTGAGAGCTGTGATCAAAGCAAGAGGAGGCCGATTTGAATAAACTAAATTTATTTTAAATCTTTATTGACTAATAAATAAAGTATTAAAAAGTAAATCCCCATTCTCTTATTTGTTTCTATTTTATACGAGTTTTATTTTGTATCAGAACTTATGGGCCACGCTGTATAAGTTTATGAACGTTTTTTATTAACTAAAAAAATCACAAAGTAAAGTCGATAGGGTGGTTTTGCCCCACTTTTCATTTTACAAGTATCAAAACGGCGGCACAAGTAATACGCTAAGCGGTTGTTTCTCTTTTAAAGTAATTATCCACAGACCTTCGCCAGCTTGTAGTTTATTCTTAACTTCGAAATAGAAACCAGGCATGAGTATTATTTCTTCTTCAGTTTGAAAATATGAATAATGTCTAATAGATTTTCCATTTTGGCATTCAATCGAGAACAGTGTTCGCTGACCTTGTTGGCCCAGGAAGTGATTCGATTGGAGAACTGACATATCTTCTGTCGTCGTTGAAAATGACCACCATACCCCATGTTGTCCTTTTTCATAGTGTTGGCTAAGATCGCGTCTGACACCACGCCAAACGGTTCCTTTAAACGATGGCAGTCTATGCAATGCGGCTAAAAATAATTTAAGATAGGGGAACCATTTCTTTATTGTATCTCGAGTTTCAGATCGTAAATCGGCGTTCAATAAACGATACAGACAAGTTTTCGGTGGCTCCCATTCCATTGTATAAAGTTTAATTGCGGCTGATTCATCTTGCGTCAAAGGTCCCTCATAATGAGCGCCTTGTCGAGCTATCCATATTTGTTGTGTTAAATCAGGTATGATGTCATTCAGTGGCTGAAGTGCCTTGTCAATCGGCATCAACGGTGAATTTTGGTAGCCGTCAATTGGAGTTAGAATTTGCTGCGGGTAGTCCAGGATGTCCTTACTTAACCTAAAGCAAGGAATTGGGCAAATAGACACTATAGACGCGGACAATGATTATTAGTCAAGATAAAATTGTATCCTTTATTTCGTATCTTGTTTTGTCATGACGCCAGCCTGTATAATACATAGAACTTCTTCGTTTATTCTTCTGTTGAAGGAAACTCAAGAAGGCCATTGTGCTAAGCTACTCCTCAAGATGCCGCTGCAAGCAAAAGATCTAATGCCACTCAAAGTAAAACCCATCACCAAAACGAAATGAATGTAGAAGTGCATTGCTGCATCGGGTCATCAGACTTGTCTACCAAATGGTTCTCTGACCGATATACACGTAATATTACTCACATGACAAGGATGCGTTTAGGATTCAGTTTTCTTTCTGCGGACCACTACAAGCGACATTTTGTATCCAGTCCTTTATGCCAGACTTGTATCACTCCCGAAACAACGGAACACTACTTCTTACATTGTACACGTTTTGCCCAAGAAAGATTGCAAATGCTAGCCAGTTTCCCGTTAAGTTACAGGCACAAATAGCTACTTCGGTATAGAACAGATTTTAAAGGGGTACGATTACTTGAGTGTAGAACAAAACTGTTTCTTAGTGGAGCACATACATTAATACATTGAGAACACAAAACGTTTTGCTTCATAACTCATTATATTATTCTCTTCATCATTATCATATTTATCTATCTACCCTTAGTAATTTATCTACGCTTAGAGATTTTGTTCGTATGTAGGAAATAAATAATCATTACAATTTATTATTTGTTATCTTCAAGAATACCATCCACATTTTCTTTTGTTTTTCTTTGTTTCTTCTTTTGTGCACGTGTTTATTGGCAACATCAGGTTTAGTACTCAGGAGGAAAAGTATTTTTTATAGCATAATCCTCTTTAAATAAATAATGGTATATATACCACCTTTTTCGAAGGTTTAACCGCTAAGGAGCAACGTGGATAGCTGTCGTCTAAAGGGGATACTATAAAACCTACATGTTTGATTCGGTATCTTCGTTTTCTTTTTGTAGTACTTTTTCAACTTCATTAATCAGTTCACTTGAATGAATCAGAACAGATTCGACCTAAATAAATAAATTTGTTTTGTCAGAGGACATAATGACACAACCGGAAAAATGTTACTTTTTCATGGTTTTTTGTCCATTTTTCATTTTCAGCTTGATTCATACAGTAGACAATAATGGATATCAATTGAGGTAAATTGTGAACATTCGGCACAACTTGACGGCCAATCTGTCCTCCAACAATTAACACCAGTCTTCTATTTTTGTAGTGTCGAACGAACGCTTCACATTTATCAGCGTCTTCAAATGTTTCAAAGTTATTTCGAAGCAACTCTCGCAATTTTGTCTGTGCTTTAATATTATCTTTGGTTTTGTGAATATTGGAATCAAGCCAAATGAATCCAAGGCGCTGTTGTACAGAATTAGGCATTATGCCGGGTGCACCAGCCGATGCTGTTTCCGTAACTTCTTTTGATGATGGAGCAATTTGTTCGATGTCAACAATATGAAAATTCGGTGCTGGATTTGATTGCGATATAACCTTAAGAGAGGTACCAGGCGCCAAGATGGTTTCGTTTTCCTTTGGCGGAATGACTTTTTATAACTCTTCCATCATGACATCTGATATTGAACAGTGTTCGATGAGTTGTTTGGTCAAAAAATGAATCAGTTACTTGAACCATATTGGTACATGAACTAACACCCCACCAAACATGCGTCGTATCTGGACGATATTTCGCGCTTAAATCTCCATTAACACCACGCCATACACGATCTTGAACAGACGGTAATTTTTTAAATGCCGACATAAACAAATTCAGATAATCATGATATGGTACCAGCTTTGCCCGATCTTCATCCCGTAATGATCGATTAAACATGGTATAAAATGAAGGTTTTCCTTCGGGCCATTGCAGTGAATACAGATAAAGCGCCGCGGATTCATCACGCGTAAGATCATCTTTTGGATTCTTGCATTTCTCCAGTGAATATGATACCTTAAGAAATCGAGATGTATGCTAATGTGACTTTCGCCAAACTGAGAAAATCCAGTGAACTTCCGCCAATCGGCGAAACACCTCTAAACGTTCGCCAATACACCCCATGGTAGCTTTTCAGTTGGTGAAAGTCTTATTGGCGTACCTCCATGCTTCCATACCTTATTAGGCAAGTCCTCAACCAAATGCTGAATGGGCTTAACAGCTTCTCGTAAAGGCAAAACGGTCTGCTTGCTTGAAACTAACAGAAGCGGTGGTAACGCTTTATCTGGTTCATTATTAACGTCAAGATAACGCTTTCGATCTTGACGTACGAGATTTTGTTCCGCCATTATACAGTTCAAATCAAACCGAAACGAAAGTACACAAAACTTCATAAAGTAAGTTGTAAAGATACCTACTTTTAATCCAAGAAATGCTATATAATACCGACTTCTATATTGAAGCTTTCTTTTGGATTCAAACTATACTAAAGAGCAGGATATCACAAAAAAAGAAGGAAAATCTTGTGGCATCCGTGGATATCCTGTGATAACCTAAACCTAAAAATTTAAAAATATATATAAGGAAATCTGATGAGAGTAGAGGTGATTGGACCACTGAACTTTGAAGTGTGATCCTCCTGTATAATCAAAAATATTTTTTTTTCTTAATTCAAAATCACGTAGTTAGTGAATATTGTTACTTTTCGTTAATGTTTTTCGCGATGGAGTACACGAAATGAAGTTTATTTCGACGAAATATTATATCATAACATTTGTTGACAAAGAACAAAGAAGGTTACAATACATATTTGAATATAACTCATTTTTCTGTTCTGTTATTATTAAATATGATTCGAAGAACAAGGAAATTATCAAAAAGCAAATAAAACCTATGCATATATGTATGCAAACAACACTTAAAGTATACTTCGATAATATCGTTTGTATTCACTATATATTGCTGCATTTCTAAAGATAAAATTTTGAGAATAAAACAAATATGTGCCTTAATCATTTTCTTTGTGTCGACAAACTCTGTGATATTATTTCATCGAAATCAAGTCGTTTCGTGTACTGTATCAAATATGCCTGCGAAGCAAAAACGACTTGATTTCGATGAAATAA